TTCTTTAGCATCCGATACAAATCGCTAAACCTTCGACAAATAATATAACCAATGCTATATGCCCAACCACCCCCTAACCCACGACACAATATAACCATGCACTCAACCACCCCCTAACCGTTATATCAGAAAAAAATGTCACTTCCAACCCCCCCCCCCCTCCCCACCTTCCACCGTCTGTCGCACACCATCATAGCAACACCCTTCTACCCTATGTCACTAAATATAACTGATGTCATGTCCTCATTCCACTCCCCCCCCCCCCCCCCCCCCCCCCCTACGTGACAATATAAAAGATATCACATCCACATTATAAAAGATATCATATCCACAATACAACAGATATCATATCAACAATACAACAAATATCATATCCACAATACAACAGATATCATATCCATAATACAACGGATATCATATCCACAATACAACATATACCATATGCATAATACAACGGATATCATATTCACAATACAACATATATCATATCCATAATACAACGGATATCATATCCACAATACAACAGATACCATATTCATAATACAACGGATATCATATCCACAATACAACAGCTATCACATCCACAGCTTTCGAAACTAGTGCTAGATAAAGAAAAAAACTACTCTCGTTTAGTGGAATAGTTTAGGTAGCAAATAATCAGCTGTTAGACACGAACAAGAGTAGAAAAAAAAATTCCGAAAGAGACGGAAAAAGAAAAAACAACATCCGAAACAGAGGAATAGAATAGGGGTGAGTCATCGCGGGTTTGAGGTATCGATTCGTTTGAAAGGAAGGAAATCGATACTGACGTCACACCATTTCTAGACCCAACTTTTTAAACGCGTTGGCTCACAATAATTTCAGACAGGAAGATCTAGTTTAGCTGGATAGAAGGCCGAAGGTAGTTATTAATATACATCGCTGACTATTTGTTTATTTTTCAGTAAACAAATACATGGTAAATAATTAAAAATTAACACACATTTTAAAAAAAAAACGGTTAAAATATTTTAAATTTGAGCGAACTGATATTGAGTAAAATGAATGCCAGACGTTATTTAAGGGGGTATTGTTATCTATCGTCTGGTTCACGTAAAGATAAACCAGTTGGCAAAAAGGTCAATGGATAGGCCTATAGCAAAGTGGAGTAGAGCTAGCGTTAAAGGGGAGGGGGGGGGCGTGATAAATGGGGCGAGATGAAAAAAAAACAATACAAAAACTCTTGTTTTTTGTAGCTCGACTTAAGCAGACAACACAGTTCGAGAGTATTCAGAGAGTGTATTCGTGTTAGTGAATGAAAAATAAACCCTTTCATCTATTGACCAGCCAAATGCTAAGCTCGTGTACTGCCGTACGCCACCATAAGTCTATTTCCACATTTATTGTTGGCCTCATGCAGACGAATATTGAATGTAATGCACCATGTTTAAATCGATTAGAAATATATGTGTACGGGTGCAGTAATACTGGCGTTAGTTATACTTAATCTAGAATGTACATTAAATTTCTCAGACTGCATATTATTGAATCGGGTTCTCAATAGCACCACGGTCATCATATGCTCATTATTTCGAGAACATAAACTCTATACCCTAGAGACACGCAAGAAAATACTGCGAAACAGAGCATAGAATCAAGACATAAAAAAACGTAATATAGGACCTTGAATATTCTCATGTTTGTCAGGTAAAGCCAGATGCAACTGATCTTAGGAAAGAGATCAGTTGTATGACTGTCTTGGAAAACTGATCATCACAACTTGATCTCAGGATATAGATCACTTTTATGGCTGTCATGGAAAACTGATCATAGTTAAGGTCCTCTTTGGACCTAGAGATCCATTTGGGCAGTTTCTTGAGCTCGGCATTTAAAGGAATAGTGTAGTCAGCATTATGCCCAGTCGCCTTTTCTCAGACCTGGGGAAGGGTGTGTGGAGGGGGAGAGGGGAAGGGTGTGAGAGAGAAGGAAGGAGGAAGGGTGTGAGCGAGAGGGAGGGGGAAGGGTGTGTAAGAGAGAGGGCGCGGGAAGGGTGTGAGCGAGAGGGAGGGGGAAGGGTGTGTGAGAGAGGGAAGGGGGAAAGGTGTGTGAGGGAGAGGGTGGGGGGAAGGGTGTGAGAGAGAGGGAAGGAGGAAGGGTGTGTAAGAGAGGGAGGGGGGAAGGGTGTGTAAGAGAGAGGGCGCGGGAAGGGTGTGAGCGAGAGGGAGGGGGAAGGGTGTGTGAGAGAGAGGGCGCGGGAAGGGTGTGAGCGAGAGGGCGCGGGAAGGGTGTGAGCGAGAGGGAGGGGGAAGGGTGTGTGAGAGAGGGAAGGGGGAAAGGTGTGTGAGGGAGAGGGTGGGGGGAAGGGTGTGAGAGAGAGGGAGGGGGGAAGGGTTTGTAAGAGAGAGGGTGCGGGAAGGGTGTGAGCGAGAGGGAGGGGGGAAGGGTGTGAGAGAGAGGGAGGGGGGAAGGTGTGTAAGAGAGAGGGTGCGGGAAGGGTGTGAGCGAGAGGGAGGGGGGAGGGTGTTAGCGAGAGGGAGGGGGGAGGGTGTGTGAGAGAGATGGTGCGGTATAGAAATGATTGGTGAGAATAAAAGGTAAATTATTTTCCGAGAAAAAAGTTTGTGAAGTTTAATCAAGAAGAGCAGTTTGTATTTCACAGTTTTCAGATGTCCTTTAAACTAGCGTGTGTAAGAAATAGGAATATCGTTGAAATCTAACCAATATACAGTATCAAAATATAAAGCGAGGAGGGTGTGTGTGGACGGAAGTGATAACACAGGAATAAGAAGGTGGAACTATAAAAGAAAATGATAGAAAAAAAAACGGAATTCATTTGTGGATGGCTATAAAAAAGAAAGATGGTAGATGTATGGAGTGCTGAACCGGAAGTGGATTACGGTGGATGGGGTCAGGGGGGTCACAGTCCGCGCGAAGATGGAGCGATAAAAGGCCATAATTCCGTTAGCCTGAAGTCCGCCGGGCTTCCAGTGGCTAACTGGCACTTGATTGAGTCAAAGACGGTGATGTATTGCAGAGTTATCCCCTCAGTGAGTGGCTGAATAGCCGCCCCTTTTAGATCTGGATTTGTTATGACGAGTGGGCTAGTTGTGAAAGTAGAAGTATACAATAGGAAACCATTTGTCTTTTTTTAGCTTTTAGGAAAAACCGGGATAAGAGACTGCCGGGAAATACAAATCGGAATATTAAATAACTCGCAATAAAATAATAAAATTTAATTTTTAAAGTTAAAATTTCATCTCAAAATCACCGGTGAGAAATTATCTTTTACCATATTCCAAGTATTATTGGAAAGAAATATAATATCCAATTTTACACCAAAAAATTATTTTAAACAGCCAAGTTCATCAATCTTAAATTAAATTGGAACAATATAAAACATCAAAGAATAAACACAATCACCCAGATCGGATTAAAAATAGTAATTAAATCTCAAATGACTAAAAATACAATAAATTAAAAAATAATAAATAAATCACTCAAGTTGCAAGTTGTATAGCTTGCACTTTTAATGATTTCTGTAAAAAAAATATAGGATCTAAAATCTATACCTTTTTATATTGATAGTTAATTAATCTTTGTTTCTAGCCAAGGGAGACAATTTTGTACTTACTTCGTTTTCTAGAGTTATCTTGTCCTCGTTGTCCAACAGCTCATCAAAATGCGGCTGAGATTCATCTGTAATTAAATAAACCGGGAGTGAGTGATCTCCCCTAAGCTTTCTCGAATATTCTTATATAACTTGGAATGTAGACATGATTTTTAATTACTTAAACTTTTAAAAATAGAATAGAATCTCATAGAAAAAAAAACATTGCGCACCAAACAAACGCCGAAACAAAATGTGCATAATAGGGCGCAATATTATTAGTACTTTAAAAATTTACATTAGTTTTTTGAGAAATCGGAAGTAGCGTAAATTACTACTTCCGGTCAACGGAAATTACTCAAAATTTAACAGAAGGTAGAGAATTAGATCTTTTACTTACATGTGAAATTTCATTTATCTATCTGAAATAATACTCAAGTTATAGGCTTTTGAAAAATTCAAAGTAGAAAAAGTACCACTTCCGGTTGTCGGAAATCGCTCAAAAGTTGATACGGATCTACGATTTTGATATAATACTTATATATGAAATTTCATCAACCTAGCTGTAACGGTACTCAAGTTATCGTGTTTACACACAGACACACAGACACACACACACACACACACACACAGACATACGGACAAGATTGCAAAATTATGTTTTTCCGTATCAGTGAGGTGTAAAACGTCGAGATTTGTAAAAATCTCGATTTTTTTTTTGCACGATTACAATACTTTCTCTATACTACGTATATACGAGAAAGTAAAAAAAAAGAAATTTCTTTTAAAATTCGATGTTTGCTTCCAATTTTCCTAGCAGTCAAACAAATAAAAATATACGAGCCGACCCGCGGCGTATCATACGGCGCTATTTAGTTGTTTTATTTTCTACTTTTCAGTAATTCATAATGTGTGAATTCGACAGTACAAACGCTGCCACTGAAAATATTTGCTTTAAAACACTATCAGTAGCTCGTTAAGGACGATAACACCCCCCCCCCTTCCTTCCCTAACCCCTCCCCCCCCCGTGTAGGCAGCGTCCTCTTAGTTACCTCCCCTAAGTTTAAAATCGTTTCAAGCTAAATTATCTGCCCCTAATATCCGTCACTAAACCCGGCTCTACGATTGTAAACATTTAGCGTGAAGCACAGTTCACCAGACCATGTGAGGGTGGGGGTGGTAGGGAGCGCACTTACAGCTTGGTGTTTTCTAACGTCTTCAAGAAGAGAATTATATTTATATTTGAGAAAAATGTTCTATGATATTTCCTATCAAGACCGTCCTTCACGACACGACTGGATTTAAAATAAACTATTTATTTAAGCTGTTCCAGCATTCGTCTTGACACCCGTGACTCGTGGTGTTTGCAAATGGTGGCATTCAAATTCTGCAACATGCCAGAACAATTTTTTACGTTGTGGCCAAAGCTAAAATTTTGTCCCAATTAAGATTAAGGAATGGTTATTCAACAGGTGTTTTTTTTTCAGGGTCATCATAGTGTTTGATTCTAAAACGCTACTGATTAAAGTCGTCTCCTGTTTTTATCTTTTTATCTGATTATAAGCCCCCCCCCCCCCGGCATTGCAGTTTAATTCATGCTAATCTCCCATTTTAAAATACTAGGCAATACATTTGAATCACATTAAAATATGGGTTGGTAATACCAGTCAATACCATTTAACCATGTTAATCTCTCAATTTAAAATAGGTACTAGTTGATACAGGTTAATCATGTTAATCTCTCATTTTAAAATACTAGGTGATACAGGTTACTTATCTTCATGTCTCAATTTGATATACTAGTCACTACAGGTTAACCATTTATCTCATTTTGAAATACTAGGTGATACAGGTTAATTATGTTCATGTCGCAATTTGATATACTAGTCACTACAGGTTAACCATTTATCTCATTTTGAAATACTAGTTGATGCAGGTCAATAATGTTAATCTCTCAATTTAAAATACTAGTCAATACAGGTTAATCATTAATCTCATTTTAAAATACTAGTCATCACAGATTAACCATGATAAACATATGCTGTCTAAACATTGTTTCAATACGCCTCAAATGAAAACCATACAGTCTTAGTCCCTATAGCTCTGCTGCTTGCACTGAATTTGAATCTACCCAAAACATTTTAAGACAAAATAACGATTGAACAATGTGGAAATAAAGAGAAGCAAGTAATTCAGGAAACCAATACAATTTTTCAACACGGTGAAGCAGACGAGCGATACATGTGTAAAAGATGCATCTTATGAGATTGTTCTTTCATTGACATATACATGTCGACTACGGAGGTCGTATATTATCAAGTGGTAAATGTTGGGATTATTTAAATACATTGGGATTATTATTAAATAGGATTTTATTTTAAAAATTAAAAAGAAAGAAAAACGTATTATGAAACATAAATTATTTTGGTGCGTATTAAAAGACAAATTGATTTTCCAGTAACTCCATCGTCAGCCGAATAGTGAAAAAAATTGCACATTTACAAGTCTTCTAATTAAGTATCATTTCTACGACTGGTTTTTATAAATATAAACTTGTGTCTTGTAACAAATCTATGTTTTAAAACATTATAAAAGATAGACATAATCTTATTAAGTTATGTTTTTAAAATTTAAGAAATAATTATTTGCTACTAGATCTAATAATAATTTGTTACTTTTAAACTTCTTTAAATTGCATAAAATCAATGATAAGTTACTTCCCTTGTTTTCATATATCTTAGAATGGGAAGTAACTAGTAGTATTAAACACGAATTCTCACTATATTTAAGTAATAAAATGTGTCTGTGTATTAGGTCATTGCCATGTACAAGCTGTATAAGGAAGGTGCGCTTTTGCCGAATTGAAATCATTGAATTGAACGAATTTTTGGGAAAACTTCACAAGGAAATACAGCACAGTGGTAATTTTCTGACAGTTTCGTTTTGAAACGTCGGAGTATGGATAAGAGTTAAGGTCAGGACTAGAGTTCAGGCTTCTTCGGTCACCAGTATACTGGGGACTAACATTATGGCTCATGTCAGGGCCATGACTAATGCTAAAAGTAAAGTTCCCTTTCCAAACATGACGGTCTATAGGGCAAGTTAAGTAGAGTTCACCTGTTTCTGTGATAGAGGGGTCAGCACTACGCCCAGTCACCTTTATTTTCCCTAGCGTGAATTAGATATCCATCAGAGCTGGGTGAACTCAAGGACGGTCTACTGACTTGAACTCGGAATCGAACTCGAGACTTACGGGCTAGCTGTCTAGCTCTCTAACGCTAGGCCACTCCGTGAGTAATGCTAGGTAAACGAATTAAAGCTTGGACGAGTTAGGGTTATGGCTGGTGATAAGCCCATAATTTGGGCTGGGGAGGGAATGACAGGAAACTTGTTCACAGATTAACGTCAGTAGATCTGTAGGTTGACTGTGCTAAATTTTTAAAAATTGGTCCAATATTAAAAAAAAATACACCGATTTATTTACTATTTTAATTTATTTGATGAATTAAGTTTCTCAGCAGTAAATTATTACTGTAGACCTTAACAACAAATGCTAGCCTGTTACTTATAAACATTAAGGAGGAGATCTACAGGCCATTACCGGGGCTCAATAAACTGCAACATTAATATATCAATACTGGCAACACTAAGGTACATACTGCAAGGGACTCTCAAACTTAAGCCAATGAACTATGTAAGTGATATTTTAATAAATACGAGCCGACCCGCGGCGTATCATACACCGCTATTTAGTTGTTTTATTTTCTACTTTTCAGTAATTCATAATTTGTGAATTCGACAGTACCAGTGCTGCCACTTAATATATTTGCTTTCAGTAGCTCGTTAAGGACGATACCCCCCCCCCCCTTTTGCCCCCCCCACCCTCCCCGTGAAAGCAAACTCCTCTTAGTTACCTCCCCTAAGTTTAAAATAGTTTCAAACTAAATTATCTGTCCCTAATAGCCGTCACTAAACCCGGCTCTACGATTGTAAACATTAAGCGTGAACCACAGCTCACCAGACAATGTAGGGGTGGGGGTGGTAGGGAGCGCGCTTACAGCTCGGTGTTTTCTAAGGTCTCCAAGAAGAGAATTATATATATATAGATAATGTTTCGGTAGTTAGCTTGAACAAAACTATCCATATTTTTCCATTTCTAAATTATTTTTTTAAAAATTCGAGTTTTGGTGTTGACGTGAATTAAAAAGGTTACCAGTATCAAAACAAGTTGAGAACCCCTGACGTGCATGCATGCGACAAGACATGAAGTAGGTAATTGCCAGGTAGATCGCTCATTTACCTGCGTCCTGCTGGATAGAAAACCTCGTCACAGACATGGGAGGCAGCGAGCCAATCAATACGGCATCGGTCTGAGTGGTTGTCGGTTTCCGTTCTGGGATACTGAGGATGTGGGCAGGGACTGGTAGTGTCTGGGGAATAGCAAAATTGTGTTGGGAGGCACATCCACTAGATTAAACATGTAAATACACACATTATATATATATATATATATATATATATATATATATATATATATATATATATATATATATATATATATATATATATCAGTATTTAAATGCTATAGTGTGTATTTAATACTAAATATGACCTTCGTATTGATTATAATTAAATAATTTAAATAGGTTATACATTAGTTTAAAAGTGAAATTAATCTAATTGGTATTTAGCAGTAGAAAGAAAGCTAATTAATCATTGAACTCACCTGGTAAGGTACCTTGTACCCATCAGCGTCTGTGATTGACAGCTGTTTTGACCTGACTGGGAACCTGATGGGTGCCAGGACTGTCCAGGACAGCGGGTTGTAGACCGTTAACAGGAACTGTGGGGTCAAGGTTAAGGTCAGATATACCATAACCTAACAGACACGCTAATTCGTTTGTCACAATGAGGTCAACCGTCAGTCAGTGAGGATATATCAAGGACAATGTCAAGGTCGATGCAATTATCACATGATGATGCTATTAGCGTTATTATATCAATGCGACTGGGTAGGCTAATGTGTACAATTTATAATATTGTCAGTGGGAGGGGAGATTTAACAAACTAATTGCTAACTCCTATAAGAGGGACGAATTGAAACAGTATTCTGTAGTGAGAAGTTAGAGAATATTTTTAATTTAAGGAAAAAAAATAGGAAGCGATCTAGATATATTGGCGTTCATTGCTTCTTTCAGCGTGAATGAACAGTCCTTGGTGCATGTTTTAAATATTTTTCTCATTGCCTTGTTTATTAGAAACCACCTTTAACTTTTTTTCCCCCCCAAACTGTAAGTGTTAGATTGAATGTTGAGGAAGAGCCTAATATAGGAGCATTGGTGAGCGGTATATATCATTCAGCACACACATAAATGGGTCATAATAAACCAAAAGGCGACATTACAATCTGAGATGTCGGATAATTGAAATACGGGTTTAAAATCAATCTCCAAAAACCAGCCCAGTTTAATATAAAAACTGGCCTTACTTCATTAAGAACCTATGTAAAGCTTAAACAAAAGAAATGCAACGTCAATGAAAGTGCTTGATCAATACTTTCTGATCTTTTTTCCTTTTATCACTACACAGGCCTACGTTGAATGTATTGCTTCTTGATTGATAATATGATTAATTATATTGAAGCTTTGAATTGGGAGAAATGGAAAAAAATGGAACTTTGAATTTATGGTGGTTAGTTTGTGCAATGTTTTTTTTTTTGGTGTGTGTAGATTTTAGACGTTTTCTCTCTCGCTGTATTAGAAGTAATTCAGTACGTTCTGGAATATACCACCAGTTGTGAGGGTACAGGTGTTTTAAAGAGGGCGTCACGAATGAATCCAATAACACACAGTTCAAGTTCCAAATACAAAGTTCTTTATTAAAATTATAAATCAATGTCCTATCTAACTAGCCTGTTAAATAATATCTATTACCACTACTATTACTAACTCTACTAACACGCCCTTCCATGACCAATCCTACCACTATCTACATTCTAACTGTTCTCTACATAACTACGTCTGCTCCATTCTACATCCTAACACCTTCTGCTTCGCTAGCTAATCATGATCTACCTAACTATCTACATTCCTCGGCCGTCTCTGACCGCTACCTAACAACTCCTGGCCTATCGCTCTACCGCCCCACGCCTCAGTGGTCAGCTGACCATCCCACGTGACCGGTCAGTCCTGTGCGCCCATTGGCCTCTCTAACCAACCAACTAGGCCTATAGTCTGTTTCTGCTAACCTATATCTGCTAAACATGTCTGACGTAATCTTGCGTCATCACACACACCAACACATCACATTATGGGAGCAAGATATGACCGATGAGAAATGGTGTAGTAATACATATATTGTTAATTAGCGAGTGAATTCAAAAGTAGGTGGAAGGTGGAGGGGGATGGGAGTGTTTTAAAAACCTTTTGAAAATATAAATTCAAGTTGTAGTATAGCATACAGGATTGTTGTTACAAAAGTAAATGGTAATATATCAAAACACAGAGGAAATAAAGTGAACATTGTAACAAGTCTTTCGTTTCTGTATGAAAGAAGACGAAAAGGTAAAAAGAAACACAAAAACCATAAGAAGAAACAAAACAAAAGTGTACCTGATCCTTTGTTTCTGATACAGGGCAGGAACTGATGTTGAGACCGTAGCAAAATACAGTGGAAAGGTTGTTGTCTTCTTCAGTTCTATCCCATAATTTCTGGTAGGCCTCTGACATCACTGACTGTATATATATATATATATATATATATATATATATATATATATATATATATATATATATATATATATATATATATGTTTATGTATATATATATATATAAGTATATATATATATATATATATATATATATACGTATATATGTATACATATATATATATATATATATATATATATATATATATATATATATATATATATATATATATATATATATATATATATATATATATATATATATGTTTATGTATATATATATATATATAAGTATATATATATATATGAATATATGTATATATATGTATATATATATATATATATATAGATATATATATATATATTATTTGTATGTGTGGTGTGTGTGTTTAAGATGAACACGCTACAAATATTGTGCTATCCGCTTACACCTGTCTAAATGACAGCCCATTAAAATTGTACAGTTGATTAGCCACCGGCTGGTCACGCCAATTCCTTAAGCTTACAAAAAGCGGACATTCCCTCCCCACCCTTATCCCCCCGCCCCTCTCTACATCTAATGTGCGTGTCATGGAGTGCGTTCTTACTGCACATGCCCGCGCGTGAGCTTGACTGCACTCACGGGTCTAATGAGATTACAGAGATGCAGTGAAACGCCACCATGTCAGGGGCCTGTCCTAGAAAAATAGACCCTGGTTTTGCTGGGGCTATAAATTACACCATCACTATTTCCTTTCTAAAGTTTAAAATACTTTTTAATGACTTCAAACCTCATAATTCATATCGCTTTTTGTTTCTCATCAAATATGTGAATAGTTTATTTAGTGATCAGGATTCTTGTCTTATTTACAACTTCAGTTTTATTTAATAAAATAGAATGTTCATATTTTACGTACCTGACATGCGTTTGTTGCGTTGCTAAGCAACAGGTTGTAATCATTCAGCACGTGTTTCTTTTGAGTACCTCTAGAGAACAAAAAAAAAACTGATCGAAACTAAAAGTTCAGTTCAAGTCATCAAAAGGTTCATTAACCGTGTATAGATACAGAAATATACATTAATTCTACACTTATATTCACACATACATACATACATAAATACATATGAGAGAGAGATTGAAAGAGATAGGTATATAGTTTTATGGGTATATATATATATATATATATATATATATATATATATATATATATATATATATATATATATATATATATATATATATATATATATATATATATATATATATGTGTGTGTGTTTGTGTGTGTGTGTGTTTAAATTGTAAGTGCTAGAAGGAATTCATTGTAAAATATAAGACAATTGCCTAAAATAGCATCAGAAAAGTTGCCTTATTTTAAAATGTCAAAGAACCTTGCGGCTGTTTATAGACAGGAATTGTCAGAAGAACGTAGGGCTGTGCCACTTGAGTAATCGGACTTGAGTAAATCAGCCTCATTGCTAATCAGTCAAAAGGTTATTCAGCTCGCGTGCTAATTGAGCTTGAACTCCGCGGCTTAAAGTTTTAAACACGTTCGGTTCCTTTCTCAAATGATAAGTTCGGCTTCCCCTGGCTGTAAATTAATTAACATAAAAAGCTGAAATCTTGTCAGGCTCCCGTCGGAAAAAGTAATCAATCATTGGCCCCTGCCTGTCACGTGGTTTGAGAAGTTCAGCCTGTGATTGGTTGAAACGTTGATTAGGACGATCCCATAATCCCCAGCGCGCCAAACGTTATGGTAAATGAAAGGCACAAGGATTAGACACGAATAACCAAGATGGCCGCATCTTCAGACAGATCGACAATGAGAATGAAAGAAACATTTGCAGCTTGCGCCTTGGATGGTTCTAATAATCAAAATGTATGTTGTACCTCAGCTTTATAGTTTCAGGTTATAACTGTAACCATATAGTTTGAATCTTTCGGTTATTGATAAAAAAAAATTAAAATTCCTAAATCAAACCGATTTTACAGAAAAAAATATTTTAAAGAAGAATAAAAGAAATTTAATACATAGATAAACAACTTTATTTCATTGAAAATACGGTTTAAACTCTAGAGGTTAAGATAAAACATGCAGATTGTGAGTTACCGCCCTTGGATGCACCAATTTCCACCACTTGTCTTAGAATGTGATTGTTTGATAATTGAGAAGCTTATTTAAAATAAGGTTCCCAGAAAGAACCGCAACGGAAAAAAGCGCAACGGAAAAAAGCGCAAATCAAAAAGCGCAACGGAAATAAGCGCACACGGAAAAAAGCGCAAAGAGAAAAAAGCGCACACAGAAAAAAGCGCAAAGAGAAAAAAGCGCACACAGAAAAAAGCGCAAACAGAAAAAAGCGCAAACGGAAAAAAGCGCAAAGAGAAAAAAGCGCACACGGAAAAAAGCGCAAAGAGAAAAAAGCGCAAACAGAAAAAAGCGCAAAGAGAAAAAAGCGCACACAGAAAAAAGCGCAAACAGAAAAAAGCGCAAACGGAAAAAAGCGCAAAGAGAAAAAAGCGCACACGGAAAAAAGCGCAAAGAGAAAAAAGCGCACACAGAAAAAAGCGCAAAGAGAAAAAAGCGCACACAGAAAAAAGCGCAAACAGAAAAAAGCGCAAACGGAAAAAAGCGCAAAGAGAAAAAAGCGCACACGGAAAAAAGCGCAAAGAGAAAAAAGCGCAAACAGAAAAAAGCGCAAAGAGAAAAAAGCGCACACAGAAAAAAGCGCAAACGGAAAAAAGCGCAAACGGAAAAAAGCGCAAAGAGAAAAAAGCGCACACAGAAAAAAGCGCAAACAGAAAAAAGCGCAAACGGAAAAAAGCGCAAAGAGAAAAAAGCGCACACGGAAAAAAGCGCAAAGAGAAAAAAGCGCAAACAGAAAAAAGCGCAAAGAGAAAAAAGCGCACACAGAAAAAAGCGCAAACAGAAAAAAGCGCACACGGAAAAAAGCGCAAACGGAAAAAAGCGCACACAGAAAAAAAGCGCAAACGGAAAAAAGCGCAAACAGAAACAGAAAAATGCGCAACCATGTGGGGTTAGGAAAGTTAAGGGGTCCATTCTCTAATAGGCAATCTATGTCTCTTTCGTACTTTCGTGTTGGTTTATTGTCGAACCTGTCCTCACCTCACATCACAACAGTTGGGTGACGCTTACCGTGTAATGTTAAAATAAATAGCATGTAATTGAGTTAATTCGAAGTGAGTGTTCACACTAGCCCAACGCACTAATTAAGGTTGTCGCAAAATATAACATATATGTAACATAATATGTCAATGAATTTTCATTTAAAAAAATATGTCTAGTGCAGTTTACGAAACTAACGAACTTCGTCGATACTTTTTAGGTGGGTAGGTGGGTAGGCGGGTAGGTGGGTAAGTGGGTAGGTGGGTAAGTGGGTAAGTAAGTAAGTGGGTAGGTGGGTAAGTGGGTAGGTGGGTAAATGGGTAGGTGGGAAGGTGCGTAGGTAGGTGCGTCATGATAATATTAAATACATAATTGAGAGATACTTCATGTAATGTCGATATCAATGATATTTTGATGTTTATTTATACGAGAATAGTAGTTGAATAATTATTGACCAAGAAAATAATAGGCATTGTGTAAAGTGATTATCGCCTGTATCGAGGTGATGGGAATGCAGATGGTAGTGGTACGCTTTAAATGGTAGTAGATCACGTGATCAAACACGACACTCTCACAGCAGCCCTAACAGTCATGTATAAATGTGTCATCTAGTTCATATGGTTTTTGTGCTAAATTTCTCTTTTGCACATTTTTCTTTGTGTTTTTTCTGGTTGCGCATTTTTCTGTTTCTGTTTGCGCTTTTTTCCGTTTGCGCTTTTTTCTGTGTGCGCTTTTTTCTGTTTGCGCTTTTTTCCGTTTGCGCTTTTTTCTGTTTGCGCTTTTTTCTGTGTGCGCTTTTTTCTGTTTGCGCTTTTTTCCGTTTGCGCTTTTTTCTGTTTGCGCTTTTTTCCGTTTGCGCTTTTTTCCGTTTGCGCTTTTTTCCGTGTGCGCTTTTTTCTGTTTGCGCTTTTTTCCGTTTGCGCTTTTTTCTCTTTGCGCTTTTTTCCGTTTGCGCTTTTTTCTGTTTGCGCTTTTTTCTGTGTGCGCTTTTTTCTCTTTGCGCTTTTTTCTGTTTGCGCTTTTTTCTCTTTGCGCTTTTTTCCGTGTGCGCTTTTTTCTCTTTGCGCTTTTTTCCGTTTGCGCTTTTTTCTGTTTGCGCTTTTTTCTGTGTGCGCTTTTTTCTCTTTGCGCTTTTTTCCGTTTGCGCTTTTTTCTCTTTGCGCTTTTTTCCGTGTGCGCTTTTTTCTCTTTGCGCTTTTTTCCGTGTGCGCTTATTTCCGTTGCGCTTTTTGATTTGCGCTTTTTTCCGTTGCGCTTTTTTCCGTTGCGGTTCTTTCCGGCCACCTTAAAATAAGACGCTATTCAGACTTTGTTATCAGTTTTTATAAACTTAACTAAACAATACTTCTATTATGTATTGTTTTATTTTAGAATGTTGAGGTCACTTCGTAGTGGATGACCAAAGATAAAGGGGCTCTTGATAAAATGGGTGATTCGACCGATTCATCTTGTATGTACAATATTGGTTATTTTGTCAGTCAGTTAAGGTTTTCTCGGTTTAGATATTTGAGAAATGTTGACTTATTTGCCGTTAGCGCAATGCCCTTACATAATAAGATTCGTAGTACAGGAAATACTCAGTGAACTTAAATATGTGTTTTTGTGTGCGTGTGTGCATGTGTGTGCTCGTGTACATGCGTGTGTGGGTGCGTGTATATGTACATGTATTTGTGCGTGCATATGTACGTGGGTGCGTGTTCATGCATGTGTGCGTGTATATGTGCGCGTGTGCGTGTACATGTGTGCGTATGTGTGTGCGTGTAAGACTTACGTGATAGCATCATGATGCTGAGCAACAGCCATCTGGTCCCCTGCCGTGTCAAATAAAATAAAAATATAAGAAACATTGTCTCATTAAACTGAATACTCTAACCAACATCAATATAATGATAGTCATCACCTTTTTTGTATCAACCTCACTCATACAGTAAGCTTATACAACAACAACAGAATCAAAGAATACGGTCGTACTACATGACTGCAGCATGTACAATCAGATGCAGTCCAAGCTCTAGCTCCACTTAGGAAATAAACTGTATGGGGTGCGCACAAATCTAGGCATCACTGTCTTATTTATCAACGAAGTTGGACTTGTTGTTTGTGTTCCCCAATAGAAATAATATTAAACACGAAGAAAAAAGAAAACGGGAAAGACAAAAATGGATTCCGGTGAGAGGTCGGAGTGGTCGAGTCGGTAAAGCTCATGGTAGATAAACCGAAAAGTCTCGAGTTCTAACCCTAGGGCAGATGAGGCTCGTTGGCTGGGGACAGCCACTCTTCTAGGAGACACAACTCCAAAAATCAAACAACTACTGCCTTGTAGTTTGTTCTTGGTTGGACAAAGGCTATGGAAGCAAATTCAAAAAGAAAAGCAGGCTGAAATCGGAGTCAATGGCCTCAACAGCGCATAACCAGTTGACACGTAAATCTTAATTCTGTTGGAAAGGGGTCGGCGTGGTTGCTCATGGCTGCTAAACCAAATTCTCGAGTTCGATCCCTTCCAACACTAAAAATTAAGAACGAAGATGATGAAGAAGAAGATTCCGGTGAATTTCCGATAAACCGCTACAACAATCAGCTGCTGAGCTGTGCATGAATAGTTCACAGGTTGTTAGGGATAGGTAGAGGATGAATAGTTCACAGGTTGATGTTATGGATAGGTAGAGGAAGAATAGTTCACATGTTGATGTTAGGGATAGGTAGAGGAAGACACAGGGTATTGGTCGTTAAGAACTGTCAATTAACAAACAGGACAGAAAACACAGCAAGATACGGCCACGGGAACTGTCGTACATGAGGTAAAGAGAAAAATATCTTAAGAAATGTTTTACAAAAACTAACAGTGAGAGTTCATTTCCGATTTATTGTTATCGATATATCTCGTAGCAACCACTTTTTAGTCAGTCACACCTTACTGTGGCGTAAAATGCCATTCTTCTTCAAATAGTATGACCATTATAGCATTATTTAAAAAAGACTTGTAATTCTCTTCTACTGTTACAATAATTGTAATTTGTTTTAAAATTGACACTGGTAGTAATAAAAATCTTGAGATTAAGAATTTTGAGTCACCATTTAAAAGCTGGGAATTTCCAATTTCCTCGGTGGGTGTAAGGGATACAGTAACAGACCTTTCACGTGAAATGTTGACTTGTTGATTGTGTGGGTTGTTGTGTTTGGGTTGGTGGGGGTTGATTTGGTGATTGTTTGGGTTTTAGTGTGCGAGGGGGAGATGTAGAATAATAAACTATTTACGTAAAGTGTTGATTTGGTGATTGTGTGGGTTGGTGGGGTGGTTTGGTGGGGGTGGGTGGGGGTGTGTGGATGTTGGGGGTGTAGAGTAATAAACGACTTACGTAAAATGTTGACTTGTTGATTGTGTGGGTTTGATTATGTGGGGGGGGGGGGGAGGGTGGGAGGCGATTAATAAACAACTTACGCACAATCTTGAATTTGTGATTGTGTGAGTTTGAGTCTTTGTGGGAAGGTGGGGGGGGGGGAGAGTAATAAACTACATACGTGCAATATTGATTTGGTTATTGTGTGGGTTGGTGTTTGTGTGTGTGTGTGTGTGTGCGTGGTTAGGGGGGGGGGGGTAATTAACCACTTACGTAGTACGTTGACCTGGTTGAAAGAAGCATCTAGTCCAGCAAATATCGCTAGCTGTTTGCAGCTCTGTAGAAGACAATTTGACAACAACCATTGGACGTGGAGTAATCAAACAAAAAAGTGAGTTATGCTACAGTGTTTCTTTCAGGCATTTCTCCGGGCGGGGGAGGGGAGGGGAGGCTGGGTACTGACCGCTTGCCTCCGAAACACGGAAGTTTCAAATTCCCCCCCCCCCCCCGTGGAGAAAATGTTTGAAAGAAATCCTGACTAGACATCTGGTTTGACTGAACCAATATGTTGTCGAAATACAATTTTGTTCCTATGATCGACTTTTAAAAGTCTTACACGCGCCGATAAGTGAGACAAGTGTTGTGCAAATTGATCGTTTATATTTTAACAATTGCACAAAATACAATTTCGATAATAACTGCAGTTGTATATTTATGTACTTATCTGGAGAATTATGTTCTTACCTATAAAACTGTGTTGTTAACTCTAAAATTATGTTCTCACATGTAGCTCAATGTCCTCACTTATAGAACAATGTTCTCACCAAAAGATTAATGTTCTCACCTGTACATCAATGTTCTCACCTATAGAACACTGTTCTCACCTACAGATCAAAGCTCTCACCTACAGAACAATGTTCTTAATAATAGAACAATGTTCTCAGCTATACATCAATGTTCTCACCTACAGTTCAATGCTCTCACCTGTAGAACAATGCTCTCACCAAAAGATCAATGTTCTCACCTATAGAACAATGTTCTATCCTGCATAATTATGTTCTCACACACAGAAAAATGTTCTCACCTGTAGAACAATGTTCTTACCTATAGAACAATGTTCTATACTGCATAATTATGTTCTCACACATAGAACAATGTTCTTACCTATAGAACAATGTTCTTACATGTACAACAATGTTCTTACCTATAGAACAATGTTCTTACATGTACAACAATGTTCTTACCTATAGAACAATGTTCTTACATGTACAACAATGTTCTTACCTATAGAACAATGTTCTTACATGTACAACAATGTTCTCACCTATTGAACAATGTTCTCACCTATAGAACAATGTTCTCACCTGTACATCAATTTTCTCACCTGTAGAACAATGTTCTCACACATAGAACAATGTTCTCACCTGTAGAACAATGTTCTCACCTGTAGAACAATGTTCTCACACATAGAACAATGTTCTCACCTGTAGAACAATGTTCTCACCTGTAGAACAATGTTCTCACCTGTAGAACAATGTTCTCACCTGTAGAACAATGTTCTCACACATAGAACAATGTTCTCACACATAGAACAATGTTCTCACCTGTAGAACAATGTTCTCACCTGTAAAATCTGACCCGCCAACTTGATGTGTTTCTTGAGTCCACCCCGGGTCGTGTAGTAGCCCGTCCAGCTTGTCGAGTGGTCGGACTGGTACGGGTGGAAGTCGTCGGCCTTGGTGGCGAAGGTCAACTTCTCAAGGTTGACGTAGTGGGTGTAGCAGGAGGGGGTGGAGTAGACTACGTTGACCTTGAACCCACCAGAGTTACCCTGAGGGAATCACGTGATTAAAGTGTCAGACTGTGTTGGATTAGTCTCAGGGTCGTTGAGTTGGAAGTACTCAGACAAAAGAATTTAAAATAAGTTGATATGGGTATATGACTTAAGTTACGTAAAATGCAAGACTATAATTAACAGTTCCTTCATTAGCATTCATTAACCGCACTACATCACACGAAACCTAGTAACGCCACTTGATATCAGGTTTGACGTTATTTATAGAGTATCCCCACCAGTAACATGGTTTATATTTCATTTGTTAATCTTTTATTCCCATATGTAAAATTCATTTTATATTTCATTTGTTAATCTTTTATTCCCATATGTAAAATTCAGTTTATATTTCATTTGTTAATCTTTTATTCCCATATGTAAAATTCAGTTTATCTTTCATTTGTTAATCTTTTATTCCCATATGTAAAATTCAGTTTATATTTCATTTGTTGATCTTTTATTCCCACAATCAAGATGTTAGGTTGTATTTGATTTCTTGATCTTGTATTCTCATCTGTAAAATTCAAGTTATATTTCATCTATTGATTTTGTATTCCAACAATTAAGACGTCAGTTATATTTGATTTCTTGTTCTTGTATTCCCATCTGTAAAATTCAGTTTATATTTTATCTGTTGATCTTGCATTCCCGACATCACGATTCCCCCTAGCAGCTAATCGACAAGCGAATCGTTTCCTCTGTTTACGTCTGTCCGTTCTTGTATTGGTTTCATTAAGTGGCTCCCGGTGTTATTGTTTAATTAGCCAGAGACTGATTACTTCATTACGTTTACAGAACGTGGCTGCTGTTCGCGCTCCACACACGCGTCTCTGAAATGCCATTCTGCGGTTATACTAAAAACCGTACAACGTTGAGAACCAAAGTTTACCAGAACGCTACATAAAGTTTATTAAAAAAATAAAATCACTGCAAAGCTAAGTATACAAAATCGACAACGCAACGTATTTGATCTGCTCAAAGTGAAACCTTAAACTATCTAAATCAAATCAGCCCCTCTTACATAATTTACTAGTGTGAAAATATCCACTACAAATAAATAATTAGTGTTAGCATGAACTTAACTTGAACACAAATTTAGATATAGTTTACTAGAACAACAAACACAGCTCAAATAATCGAGATCAGATCATTACATTAAGCATGAAACAAACCAATAATTCCCTAAAATTCTACATGTCAATCGTACAATTTATTGTCATATTAAAACCATCAGCACCTTGTGCAACAGAAGCTTCTCGAAAAACTACTTATATATTTTAAAAATGTATGGTCGTGTTAAGAACAAACTAAAATGTCACAGTGATGTAGTCTGATGTATCAACTTAAAACCGTCAACACGGGCAGAATTAAAAACACAACGGAAAATTTACACAGATGAATTAGAATCTAAAAGTGTTATATTAAAACCCTAAATAAATGAAGGACCAATGCACACCAGAACACCATGCATATCTCTTAACGTATTTTTACAAGCTGTTATTTAACTTACTTCCTCTGTCTGTCTAGATCGAAACGCCCGTGCGAAATTGCAGGCACTTCTAACTGACAGATACGGTTCGTAATTGGTACGTGGGTCAAGACATGAAGGCAATGCATTGTGACATTCAATTTGACTTAACTGGTCGCCTAATTATTTCTTTATAAATTAATTAAAATTTTCCATACTAAGACCATAACTATAAGCCAAAATAGAAAAAGTACAACAATCTGGAGAAATATGGTAATTTAAAACATCAAAACACAGGCAGAACCAAAGTTCACAGAAACGTGACACACAAACCCAAATAAAACATTTCATACTAAATACCAAACCAGCTGTAAAACCAAAACTTATTAAAGCACAACACGATACTAAATACCAAACCGACCGGTTAACCAAACTGCACCAACACGCAATACAAAAATAAATAAATAAATAAATAAAAAAAAAACAAAAAAAAATAAAAAATAAAATGTTGCCATTCTGAATACAGAACCAGGCACAGAACCCACGTTCACCAACGGTCAAAGCATAAATAAACCACTAATCGTGTCAGGTACCAACTCACCAGTTTATTGACCTCCTCTATGAGCGGGTCCATGTATTTGAACCAACGACCTGCCTCCTTGTAACCGAAGTCTGACCCCATCGGCAGCAGAAGATGATTGCTTTTGTAGCACTCGGCCTGGTGGGAAAAAACGTCAGATCTATAACGTCACGATGGCACAGCAGTTTGTTTTATTTCAGGGGCAATCTAACAACATTTTTAGGTCCAACACACATTTTTATGACTTAGGTTAATCTTTTACATTTTATCATGTATGAGGGCATAGGGACGTTTGTCTAGGCGCAAATTGAAGATACAGTAAACCCTCGGTTAAAGCGTTAATTAGGACTAAAAAAACCTGCAGTTAGTGAAAAATCGCGAAGAGTGTACCCTCTGATTTTTAATACGCATACATGTTTTTAATTTATGGATAATATTAAAAAGTTTATATGAAACAATATAAGTGCCTGTTATAATCTTTATTATTTTAATCATGAGTTCACTAGATAATTTAGAGGGTGGAGGATGTTTTAAGCGCTATTTACAAGAATGTCACAAGCACTATGTTGGACAGAAAGACGCAAGAGAACAGCAACACAAAAAAATATATACGAGATCTACTGAGGCCGCGATAAAAGAACCGCGAAGTAGCGAGGGATTACTGTAAAACCTTGGAATAAGGACCAAAATTACGTGTTTTCTAAGTCTGATAATTATTTCGAAAAGTTATTTCGTATTACTTTAAGCAACTAACAAAAAAAACTACATTTATTTAAAACAACTCCGTCGAGTAAAATTTAGAACTACACGAAACATTAGAGATGAATTAAAATGTTAGAAGAAAAAAAATAGTTATAATTTGAATACTTTGCTTCATAGATTGCATCGAGGGTTCAAAATGATACAACCCAAGCCCTAATTCAACGACTAACTATAAATTAAAATATCAATATCGTGGATACTATCTATGTGTAAATTGTTTGCGTGTCATTGATGAATCGAAACCTAATTCACTTACCCTATACTTTACAGCTTTGATGAACAACAAAGCATCTCTTTCCGATACCTAAATATAGAAAAATATAAACGGCATTGATCATTATTTTTCCCACCAGACTTTAATGAATCTGTCGTGACGATATAACATAAAATGGATTATATTTTTTGTCGCATTTATACCAACATCAAACTCAATGCTAGCGTGTTTTTCTATTGATTTTGTGGATCGATGTGTAATTGATCACACAGATGCAACGCATTAAGATGGATTCTAAGCTCCGCCATACTGCCGGGTATCACGTGGTATTCGCGCAGGAACTGCGTGAAAAATCCCAACTACAAACAATGATATTTAGGAATGATTGATGTGAGAAGAAAATGATTGTCTGGTAAACAGATTGTTCCTGACAATGTGCAGCTAGTATAGTCAACTCTACTTCATCTGCCCAAGGGATCGCATGGGTCTAAAGAGGATTCTTTACTTTTTTTCTTTAAGTCAACAGTACGATTGATAATCTAAATTTTGTAATAAATCTTTTAACAACTGCATTATTTATTGTTTGTATAGTACGATTTTAAACAACAATAGTACCAAATGTCATTCAAAGGAAGTGAGCATTGCCGAAACAACAGTAGTAATAAATACTTTATTAGAAATTTAATCAACAGTCAGTACCAATTAGTACATATAAACCGCAAATATTGTTCCCCACGAAGAAGAGAATCAAAACTAACAAAGCGAAGAGATTTTATGATTTTTATTGGAAACTAACAAAGTGCTTAAGTCGAAAAGTTAGAGTAATGTCAATCATTTTTACTTTCTCATATATACGAAGTATAGCGAAAGTATTGTAATCGTGCAAAAAAAAAAAATCGAGATTTTTTCAAATCTCGACGTTTTACACCTCACTGATACGGAAAAACATAATTTTGCAATCTTGTCCGTATGTCTGTGTGTCTGTGTGTGTGTCTGTCTGTCCGTGTGTAAACACGATTACTTGAGTATCGTTACAGCTAGGTTGATGAAATTTCATATATAAGTATTTTATATAAATCGTAGATCCGTATCAACTTTTGAGCGATTTCCGATAACCGGAAGTGGTACTTTTTCTACTTTGAATTTTTCAAAAGCCTATAACTTGAGTACTATTTCAGATAGATAAATGAAATTTCACATGTAAGTAAAAGATGTAATTCTCTACCTTCTGTTAAATCTTGAGTAATTTCCGTTGACCGGAAGTAGTAATTTACGCTACTTCCCATTTCTCAAAAAACTAATGTAAATTTTAAAAGTACTAATAATATTGCGCACTATTATGCACTTTTTTATTTGGCGTTCACTTGGGGTGCAATTCTTTTGTCTACGAGATTTTATTCTATTTTTAAAACTTTAAGTATTTAAAATGGATTTAAAATCATGTCTATAGCCCGAGTTCCCATCCTCTGTTATTTTATATAAGAATATTCAAGAAAATTTTGGGGACATCACTCCCGGTTTATTAGGCTTAGTTATACGAAAATACTTTTAAAAAAAAGAATGCATTAGATACAACATTAAAAATGTACTACGTATAATATCATGACTTGGCTCTTGGGGCGTAGGGGCCTACATTACAACTCCCGTGTTTGGGGTTTAAGGTAAGACACAAGGGTGGGGAAATCTTACCTCAGACATAGTATCTGCAGAATCTAGAACATCTTACCTCAGATATAGTATCTGCAGAATCTAGAACATCTTACCTCAGATATAGTATCTGCAGAATCTAGAACATCTTACCTCAGTCATAGAATCTGCAGAATCTAGAACATCTTACCTCAGATATAGTATCTGCAGAATCTAGAACATCTTACCTAAGTCATACAATCTAGAACAACTTACCTCAGTCATAGAATCTGCAGAATCTAGATCATCTTACCTCAGTCATAGAATCTGCAGAATCTAGAACATCTTACCTCAGTCATAGAATCTGCAGAATCTAGAACATCTTACCTCAGATATAGTATCTGAAGAATCTAGAACATCTTACCTCAGATATAGTATCTGCAGAATCTAGAACATCTTACCTCAGTCATAGAATCTGCAGAATCTAGATCATCTTACCTCAGTCATAGAATCTGCAGAATCTAGAACATCTTACCTCAGTCATAGAATCTGCAGAATCTAGAACATCTTACCTCAGTCATAGAATCTGCAGAATCTAGAACATCTTACCTCAGTCATACAATCTGCAGAATCTAGAACATCTTACCTAAGTCATAGAATCTAGAACATCTTACCTCAGTCATAGAATCTAGAACATCTTACCTCAGTCATAGAATCTGCAGAATCTAGAACATCTTACCTCAGTCATAGAATCTAGAACATCTTACCTCAGACATAGAATCTGCAGAATCTAGAACATCTTACCTAAGTCATAGAATCTGCAGAATCTAGAACATCTTACCTCAGTCATAGAATCTACAGAATCTAGAACATCTTACCTCAGTCATAGAATCTGCAGAATCTAGAACATCTTACCTCAGTCATAGAATCTAGAACATCTTACCTCAGTCATAGAATCTAGAACATCTTACCTCAGTCATAGAATCTAGAACATCGTACCTCAGTCATAGAATCTGCAGAATCTAGAACATCTTACCTCAGTCATAGAATCTGCAGAATCTAGAACATCTTACCTCAGTCATAGAATCTAGAACATCTTACCTCAGTCATAGAATCTGCAGAATCTAGAACATCTTACCTCAGTCATAGAATCTGCAGAATCTAGAACATCTTACCTCAGTCATAGAATCTGCAGAATCTAGAACATCTTACCTCAGTCATAGAATCTAGAACATCTTACCTCAGTCATAGAATCTAGAACATCTTACCTCAGTCATAGAATCTGCAGAATCTAGAGCATCTTACCTCAGTCATAGAATCTAGAACATCTTACCTCAGTCATAGAATCTACAGAATCTAGAACATCTTACCTCAGTCATAGAATCTGCAGAATCTAGAACATCTTACCTCAGTCATAGAATCTGCAGAATCTAGAACATCTTACCTCAGTCATAGAATCTACAGAATCTAGAACATCTTACCTCAGTCATAGAATCTGCAGAATCTAGAACATCTTACCTCAGTCATAGAATCTGCAGAATCTAGAACATCTTACCTCAGTCATAGAATCTGCAGAATCTAGAACATCTTACCTCAGTCATAGAATCTGCAGAATCTAGAACATCTTACCTCAGTCATAGAATCTAGAACATCTTACCTCAGTCATAGAATCTAGAACATCTTACCTCAGTCATGGAATCTACAGAATCTAGAACATCTTACCTCAGTAATAGAATCTGCAGAATCTAGAACATCTTATCTCAGTCATAGAATCTGCAGAATCTAGAATATCTTACCTCAGTCATAGAATCTAGAACATCTTACCTCAGTCATAGAATCTAGAACATCTTACCTCAGTCATAGAATCTGCAGAATCTAGAACATCTTATCTCAGTCATAGAATCTAGAACATCTTACCTCAGTCATAGAATCTAGAACATCTTACCTCAGTCATAGAATCTAGAACATCTTACCTCAGTCATAGAATCTAGAACATCTTACCTCAGTCATAGAATCTGCAGAATCTAGAACATCTTACCTCAGTCATAGAATCTAGAACATCTTACCTCAGTCATAGAATCTAGAACATCTTACCTCAGTCATAGAATCTAGAACATCTTACCTCAGTCATAGAATCTAGAACATCTTACCTCAGTCATAGAATCTGCAGAATCTAGAACGTCTTACCTCAGTCATAGAATCTAGAACATCTTACCTCCGTCATAGAATCTAGAACATCTTACCTCAGTCATAGAATCTGCAGAATCTAGAACATCTTACCTCAGTCATAGAATCTAGAACATCTTACCTCAGTCATAGAATCTAGAACATCTTACCTCAGTCATAGAATCTAGAACATCTTACCTCAGTCATAGAATCTAGAACATCTTACCTCAGTCATAGAATCTGCAGAATCTAGAACATCTTACCTCAGTAATAGAATCTGCAGAATCTAGAACATCTTATCTCAGTCATAGAATCTGCAGAATCTAGAACATCTTACCTCAGTCATAGAATCTAGAACATCTTACCTCAGTCATAGAATCTAGAACATCTTACCTCAGTCATAGAATCTGCAGAATCTAGAACATCTTACCTCAGTCATAGAATCTAGAATATCTTACCTCAGTCATAGAATCTAAAACATCTTACCTCAGTCATAGAATCTAGAACAACTTACCTCAGTCATAGAATCTAGAACATCTTACCTCAGTCATATAATCTAGAACATCTAACCTCAGTCATAGATTCTAGAACATCTTACCTCAGTCATAGAATCTAGAACATCTTACCTCAGTCATAGATTCTAGAACATCTTACCTCAGTCATAGAATCTAGAACATTTTACCTCAGTCATAGAATCTGCAGAATCTAGAACATCTTACCTCAGTCATAGAATCTAGAACATCTTACCTCAGTCATAGAATCTAGAACATCTTACCTCAGTCATAGAATCTAGAACATCTTACCCCAGTCATAGAATCTAGAACATCTTACCTCAGTCATAGAATCTGCAGAATCTAGAACATCTTACCTCAGTCATAGAATCTAGAACATCTTACCTCAGTCATAGAATCTGCAGAATCTAGAACATCTTACCTCAGTCATAGAATCTAGTACATCTTACCTCCGTCATAGAATCTAGAACATCTTACCTCAGACATAGAATCTAGAACATCTTACCTCAGACATAGAATCTAGAACATCTTACCTCAGTCATAGAATCTAGAACATCTTACCTCAGTCATAGAATCTAGAACATCTTACCTCAGTCATAGAATCTGCAGAATCTAGAACATCTTACCTCAGTCATAGAATCTAGAACATCTTACCTCAGTCATAGAATCTAGAACATCTTACCTCAGTCATAGAATCTAGAACATCTTACCTCAGTCATAGAATCTAGAACATCTTACCTCAGTCATAGAATCTGCAGCATCTAGAACATCTTACCTCAGTCATAGAATCTAGAACATCTTACCTCAGTCATAGAATCTAGAACATCTTACATCAGTCATAGAATCTGCAGAATCTAGAACATCTTACCTCAGTCATAGAATCTGCAGAATCTAGAACATCTTACCTCAGACATAGAATCTGCAGAATCTAGAACATCTTACCTCAGTCATAGAATCTAGAACATCTTACCTCAGTCATGGAATCTACAGAATCTAGAACATCTTACCTCAGTAATAGAATCTGCAGAATCTAGAACATCTTATCTCAGTCATAGAATCTGCAGAATCTAGAACATCTTACCTCAGTCATAGAATCTAGAACATCTTACCTCAGTCATAGAATCTAGAACATCTTACCTCAGTCATAGAATCTGCAGAATCTAGAACATCTTATCTCAATCATAGAATCTAGAACATCTTACCTCAGTCATAGAATCTAGAACATCTTACCTCAGTCATAGAATCTAGAACATCTTACCTCAGTCATAGAATCTAGAACATCTTACCTCAGTCATAGAATCTGCAGAATCTAGAACATCTTACCTCAGTCATAGAATCTAGAACATCTTACCTCAGTCATAGAATCTAGAACATCTTACCTCAGTCATAGAATCTAGAACATCTTACCTCAGTCATAGAATCTAGAACATCTTACCTCAGTCATAGAATCTGCAGAATCTAGAACATCTTACCTCAGTCATAGAATCTAGAACATCTTACCTCCGTCATAGAATCTAAAACATCTTACCTCAGTCATAGAATCTGCAGAATCTAGAACATCTTACCTCAGTCATAGAATCTAGAACATCTTACCTCAGTCATAGAATCTAGAACATCTTACCTCAGTCATAGAATCTAGAACATCTTACCTCAGTCATAGAATCTAGAACATCTTACCTCAGTCATAGAATCTGCAGAATCTAGAACATCTTACCTCAGTAATAGAATCTGCAGAATCTAGAACATCTTATCTCAGTCATAGAATCTGCAGAATCTAGAACATCTTACCTCAGTCATAGAATCTAGAACATCTTACCTCAGTCATAGAATCTAGAACATCTTACCTCAGTCATAGAATCTGCAGAATCTAGAACATCTTACCTCAGTCATAGAATCTAGAATATCTTACCTCAGTCATAGAATCTAAAACATCTTACCTCAGTCATAGAATCTAGAACAACTTACCTCAGTCATAGAATCTAGAACATCTTACCTCAGTCATATAATCTAGAACATCTAACCTCAGTCATAGATTCTAGAACATCTTACCTCAGTCATAGAATCTAGAACATCTTACCTCAGTCATAGATTCTAGAACATCTTACCTCAGTCATAGAATCTAGAACATTTTACCTCAGTCATAGAATCTGCAGAATCTAGAACATCTTACCTCAGTCATAGAATCTAGAACATCTTACCTCAGTCATAGAATCTAGAACATCTTACCTCAGTCATAGAATCTAGAACATCTTACCCCAGTCATAGAATCTAGAACATCTTACCTCAGTCATAGAATCTGCAGAATCTAGAACATCTTACCTCAGTCATAGAATCTAGAACATCTTACCTCAGTCATAGAATCTGCAGAATCTAGAACATCTTACCTCAGTCATAGAATCTAGTACATCTTACCTCCGTCATAGAATCTAGAACATCTTACCTCAGACATAGAATCTAGAACATCTTACCTCAGACATAGAATCTAGAACATCTTACCTCAGTCATAGAATCTAGAACATCTTACCTCAGTCATAGAATCTAGAACATCTTACCTCAGTCGTAGAATCTGCAGAATCTAGAACATCTTACCTCAGTCATAGAATCTAGAACATCTTACCTCAGTCATAGAATCTAGAACATCTTACCTCAGTCATAGAATCTAGAACATCTTACCTCAGTCATAGAATCTAGAACATCTTACCTCAGTCATAGAATCTGCAGCATCTAGAACATCTTACCTCAGTCATAGAATCTAGAACATCTTACCTCAGTCATAGAATCTAGAACATCTTACATCAGTCATAGAATCTGCAGAATCTAGAACATCTTACCTCAGTCATAGAATCTGCAGAATCTAGAACATCTTACCTCAGACATAGAATCTGCAGAATCTAGAACATCTTACCTCAGTCATAGAATCTGCAGAATCTAGAACATCTTACCTCAGTCATAGAATCTAGAACATCTTACCTCAGACATAGAATCTGCAGAATCTAGAACAATACCTCAGTCATAGAATCTGCAGAATCTAGAACATCTTACCACAGACATAGTATCTGCAGAATCTAGAACATCTTACCTCAGACATAGAATCTGCAGAATCTAGAACAAATCCAGCCGGAGCATAGTAGCCGTCGTAGGTCACGTGAGTGAATAGAGTAGATCGATTTTCTGAAGAAATAAAAACAGGACGGGTTAGATGAAGATGTTATTGTTATGAGATATTTAAACACAAAATGACATCTAGAAAAAGCATGACATTTACATATTGACATCATAGATATTATGTTAGGTACGCATCAGAGCTGGAATCATTGACGTTCCACTGATTTGAACCCGGATTCGAACTGGAGACTCTCAGGTTAGCAATCTAGCTCTCTACCGCTAGGCCACGCCGTCCCTTCATATGACATTAGAATACCACATCCAATATGAGTAACAACAATGACTAAAATCGGCATGACATTTGAACACCTAATGACATCGACTTGTAACATGACATCCGGGGACCTACTTAAGTTACGAGGACTTGTATTCCATATGAGCTCCATGTCTTTATTTTTCTTCCTGTTGGTCAGGTCCTGGTAGTCTATCCGGCTGATGACTAGAGCATCGTAGCCCATCTGAAACCAAGGGTAACTGTTACAGTAAATCTATGATAGTAGTGGTCACGTAGTCGAGTGGTGACCAGAGCGTCATGGCCCATATGAAATTAACAGTAACTATTACAGCAAAATTATGACATCGGTTGTCACATAGCCAAATGTGACAAGAACGTTGTAGTCCATCTGAAATTAACGGTAACTGTTACAGTAAATCTTTGACATGAATGGTCACTTAGTCGAGTGGTGACCAGAGCGACGCTTCTCATCTGAAACCAAGGATAACTGTTACAGTAAATCTATGACAGTAATAGTCGCTTCCGTAATTAACGGTACCTATTACAGAAAATCATTGAATGGAGTGGTCACTAAGACGTAGCCTATTTGAAAACAAAGGTAACTACTACAGTAAATATGAAATCATTGGTCACTTAGCCGAAAGAGGACAAGTTGAAAACGTAGCTACAAAAACAGGTACAGACCAACAGAAGTAGTTGAGGCAAGAGTGCATTAAGTAAATTTAATATCATCTATTTCTCTGTTCTCCGTCATCATGAAGTTTCTTCATCGTGCTAACAGCAACTTCTGATTGCCACCCACATCCACCGTTACACACCTCCTTACACCCAATTACAACACACCCGCTGTCCCTCGACCAGTCGCTTCCCTTGTAATCTACACTCACTCCATACAACAACATACACGTCAACACACAAGTCTGGATACTGCCTTGCAAAACAATCGTAAACACACACACAGACACACATCCACACACAAACACACCAGACTCACAGACACAAACACACAGACACACACAGACACACTCACATACGCATCATTCCGTCTCACAAGGACATCACATCAACAGAGAGGTCACTTAGCCGATTGATGACCAACGCAAGGCAACCTATCTAAAAATAACCCTAGCTGTTACATTCAATCTATGACTAGTGGTCGCTTAGCCCAGTGTTAAACAGAGCGCAGTAACCCATTTGAAAACAACGGTAAATGTTACAGTAACTCTTTGCAGGAGTTGTAACTCTATATACAAATACTAGACGAGTAAAAGAAGTACAGACATTTTGATCTTATGCTTTCGTTTAAAATACATCTCACGATTGTGTTTCGAACTCATTTCAAACATTTCAGCATACTGTGACTTTCTTGAGGTGCTGGGAAGGAGGGTGGGGGGGGGGGGTGTGGGTGAAGGTCCCTTTTTTGGAGGGGGGGGAAGGGTAACCAGCGTTTCTTCCAGACATTTTCTCACGGGGGGGGGGGGGGGCTTGAAATTTCTATATAAATTCTATTTCGTTCGGGGGGGGGGTAGATGTTTTTTTGTGGTGGGGGGGGGGGGGGCTCTGTGGGTAGCGTTTATTTCTTCTAGTTCAACATACACAAGATAGCTCGTATTAAATTCGTAAGCCACTTTCGTGTGCAAGCATTTGTGCCCAGCCAAGCCGCTGTCACTTTATTAAAAACGGGAAGTTCCGAAAACCAAAATAACTGTTACTCTCTGGTATAGAAAAAAAAGTAATTTAAAAAAAAAAGCAATTCTTCTCCTAGTCAATATCTTGACTGGAAATGCCGTCTATGACGCCCAGGACACGTGCTTGAAGATCGACAGGACGTGGTGAAATTAGTTTAAAGAATCGATCGGGAATCTAAATCAGGGAATGCCTAGATCATCCCCAGCGAAAAAAAAACTTCGGATAAAAATAACCTTCCAGGATGCTGTATTTCCATTTCTCAACCCTTCACATAACGGGGAAAGAATATATGTAAATTAGTGAAGTTAGCACACACTTGTCCTGGGGTCAGAGGTCAGCAGAGGGGGGGGGGGAGGCATGCTAATGTTGGCTCAGAGGGTCCGGGACGATTAAGTCAAGGCAGGCGTCGAGGTTAGAATATAAGACTTGGATTATCAATCAGGAGAATGGAGATCTGAACTCTATGCACTTAGACACGAAGCAGATGTCATGGAATTCTTGGAAATGCAAAGTCAAGCTTCAAGGACAAAAGTGAGACATCACTTGATATATGTGTTACATATATCTCTATTTTCAATAAAAGGCAGCTAATATTTATAATGTTTAAGTTTGTTTAAACTTGATATGTGTGTTTCATATCTCTCTATTTCATTCAATGAAATGCAGTTAATATTTATACTGTTTACGTGTGTTTAAGTGCGTTGTATACTATTTATTTTAGTAATAGTGTACGACTTTGTAACTTTCTGTATCTAAATAATTCTAAAACCTACTATAAGTTAATTTAAATGTAGGTTTCTTAAATATTCTTATAGTGCGTAGTATGGGTAGTTGAGTGCTACAAAATGCATTTAAAAGAAGATCTATTTCACAAGTAGGTTAGAAATAAATAAGGTGTGGTAACGGGTGGGCGAAACACGCCTAATATTTTGTTATATAAAACATTTAAACATTATATATCATAGTTATATATTATATATTTATATATTATATATTTATATAAAAACATACGTAAGACTAAGTTCGTAAAGTCATATAGTGTTTTCTTCTATACACTTTACTCAACTGACACATCTATAAATATAATTCTCTACGTCGCCCAATCATGCGGGACACCACGCATGCACGCCGACTTTCTAACCCTCCTCCCGCCCCCTCCCTCGCTCTCCAGGCATGCGCAACAGTGTGTACCCACCCACCCCATTTGGACACCTGTGTCTTTCAGGAAGTCTTCACCCGTCACTAAATAGCAGCGTATGTTAGGCCGCGGGTCGGCTCTTTCCTTATAAAGTAACTAATACCTTTTTGCCATCCATCGAATCTTTTGATTACTAACTCGAAAGTTTCGAGTTCGGATCCCGTGCTCGAGTCCGTCGGATATCCCTGAGTCTACCCAGCTTAAATGGGTACCTGACTCATGTTAGGGAAAGTAAAGGCGGCTGGGCATAGCTCTGACCACACTATCCGTTTATATTCCGATGTCGCTGAATCAGCTACGCTCTACCTTACCTGCTCCATGAATCGTAATATTTCGATATGGTCCTTTAGTTTAAAAAAAATCGAATGCCACATTTTACTTTGTATAGGCTAAATTACATAAAGCATATAATACACTGTGGCGAAATAATATGAAGTTGTTGTGCAGTAACACAAAGAGATAAAAGCTCGACAGATAAAGTCGAACAGAGACCTGAGCAAATATGGAGGCGTGTTCCCTGGAGTGTCCGAACTGATCCACATGCCAGGCAGTCCGTGTGTGGGCGCAGGCTCCGAACGTCTCGCTGATGAAGTTGAAGCCCAGAGTGTGCTGGTCGATGATGTCGTTGTAGGTGGTGACGCCGGCGTCGCTCATCACCCACCCGCCGTTGATGAGCTCGAGCCGACCTATGAAGACACCGGAAGTGAGACTGTCAGGATAAAAATAGCAGCTGCGGGAATTCCCGATAAATGATATATGCGTTTTGTTTTACTTTCCTTTTTATTGTAAATCTATTACATTGCGCAAGAATGCACATTATGGAGATTTTTTTGTCCTCAACTGTTCGTCGTAACTACAGGCACATTAACTTTTTTTAGCTTAACACAAATAGTTAAAACAAAATTTTCGGATCTAAATACTGGAAAGGGCATTTATATTTTAATGGTATTTATAACTATTTACGCCTTTTGGTTAAAGCCAGAGTTTCTTTCAGGCATCTCTTCGGGTGAGGGGGGGGGGGGGGGGCTCCGGCATCCCTCAAGGAAAGTCTAACGCCCCCCCCCCCCCGAACGAAATGAAATTTATATGGAAAATATATATTTTTAACAGTGTCCGCGCGACCCCCCCCCCCCCCCGAAAAAAATTTACCGCACCCTCCCCCCCCCCCTCCCGAAAATTTCAAGTGTCCCCTCCCCCCCCCGCCCCCGGAGAAAAAAGTCTGGAAGAAACACTGGTTAAAGCAATGTCCAAATTAATATTTAGGGTTAGGCTTGGGATTAGGACTTATTGTCAGACTGAAAATATAAAGTTTCTATTCAAGGCAAAGCTAAATCTCTGCTTACAGGGTACGGCTAATCCACGAAGACCAAAAAGGCAAACTATCAAAAAAAAAAATGTCAAATACTATTTTATTTCCAATTTTCCGACTCCCCGCGCCGGCCAACGAGAGATGTTGAACTACCCGGATGTTCGATTGACCTAACGCTCGCGCAGGCGGAAGTTTCAAGAGATCAAACAAGTCGATTTTCTTCTTTCAACATTTTGAACTAAAATATTTACAAAATGCCCAGGAGTATTCAGAAATTATATTTAAAAAAATGTATTAAAAATAATTAAAAATAAATATTTAAAAAAAATTTCAAACGGCTTCCTTTTTATTATGTTGAATTATTTTTTTTTCCTACAGTGTATACAAAATCGACCTTCCTCCCCGCCATATTTAGATACATGATTTCATTCCGTGAGTAAAGTTAACGTGTGTACTCACGTTCCTTGATGAGCAGCCGAATAGATTCTCTTTCAGTGTCGTCTGCTTCTTGCCAGTAGCGCGCCAAATATTTCATCTCAATGAAAATAAATCGCCGCTGAGGATTCTTGAGGAGTTCTTGTATGGTGGTGTTGAGGGTACATCTGACGCAACCTCGCTCAGTTGTGTCGAATGGGGGCTCTGTCGTGATACAAGAAATAGGGCGTGCATGAGGATATAGGGCTCTGTCATGAAACAAGAAAAAGGGTGCACATGAGGATATAGGGTTCTGTCATAGTACAAGAAAAAGGGCGCACATGAGGATATAGGGCTCTGTCATGATACAAGAAAAAGGACGCACATTAGGATATAGGGCTCTGTCGTGATACAAGAAATAGGGCGTACATGAGGATATAGGGCTCTGTCATGAAACAAGAAAAAGGGTGCACATGAGGATATAGGGTTCTGTCATAGTACAAGAAAAAGGGCGCACATGAGGATATAGGGCTCTGTCATGATACAAGAAAAAGGACGCACATTAGGATATAGGGCTCTGTCGTGATACAAGAAATAGGGCGTACATGAGGATATAGGGCTCTGTCATGATACAAGAAAAAGGGCGCACATGAGGATATAGGGCTCTGTCATGATACAAGAAAAAGGGCGCACATGAGGATATAGGGCTCTGTCATGATACAAGAAAAAGGGCGCACATGAGGATATAGGGCTCTGTCATGGTACAAGAAAAAGGGCTTACATAAGGATATAGGCCTCTGGTATAGCATACACCAATTTATATTGCTTTGTCATGATACAAGAAATAGAGCGTACATGAGGATATAGGGCTCTGGTATGTACAATTTATAGGGCTCTGTCATTGTACAAGAAATAGGGCGTACATTAGGATATAGGGCTCTGTCATGAAACAAGAAATAGGGCGTACATTAGGATATAGGGCTCTGTCATGGTACAAGAAATAGAGCGAACATGAGGATATAGGGCTCTGGTATAGCATACAACTATTTATATGGCTCTGTCATTGTACAAGAAAAAGGACGTACATGAGGATATAGGGCTCTGTCATGGTACAAGAAAAAGGGCGTACATGAGGATATAGGGCTCTGTCATGATACAAGAAATAGAGCGTACATGATGATATAGGATTCTGGTATGTAACAATTTATAGGGCTCTGTCATGATACAAGAAATAAGGTGTACATAAGGATATAGGGCTCTGGTATGTAACAATTCATAGGGCTCTGTCATGATACAAGAAATAGGGTGTACATAAGGATTTAGGGCTCTGGTATGTAACAATTTATAGGGCTCTGTTATGGTACAAGAAATAGGGCGCACATCAGTATAAACGGCTCTGGCATAGCATGCAACAATGTATATGGCTCGCTCATGATGCAAGAGTAGGGTGTACATCAGTATTTAGGGCTCTACCATTGTATGTAACAATGTATTGGGCTCTGTCATGATACAAGAAATAGGGCGTACATAAGAATATAAAGGCTCTGCCAGGGTATGTAACAATTTATAGGGCTCTGTCATGGTACAAGAAAAAGGGCGTACATAAGGATATATGCTCTGTTATGGTATGTAACAATTTATAGGGCTCTGTCAACGTACCTGATATAGGATGTACATAAGGATATAGAGCTCTGTCATTTAATTCTAATCCCAGTAGAAATGTATAAAGGACACTAAGACTTACTCTCCCCAGTGTAATACTGGTCAACCGTCTTCAGCCAACCCACATCGATGTGGCTGTGTGGCACTAAGTGGACATTCAGCATGCCGTCCTTCACCTTGGGACAGTTCTAAAAATAAAACAAAAACTCAACTTGAAGGAGCATTTGGCAGATTAAAACTCACCTTGAAAGAATATGTGATTAAAAACCGCTCTTCTCGAAGGAACGTGTGAAAGGGAAACTACAGCTCACCTTGAAGGAACTTTAATTAAGACCAAACTCACCTTGAAGGAGCAGGTGCCACAAAATCACCTTGAAGGAGCAGGTGCCACAAACTCACCTTGAAGGAGCAGGTGCCACAAACTCACCTTGAATGAGCAGGTGCCACAAACTCACCTTGAAGGAGCAGGTGTCACAAACTCACCTTGAAGGAGCAGGTGCCACAAACTCACCTTGAAGGAGCAGGTGCCACACACTCACCTTGAAGGAGCAGGTGCCACAAACTCACCTTGAAGAAATTAATTAAGACCAAACTCACCTTGAAGGAGTAGGTGCCACAAACTCACCTTGAAAGAGCAGGTGCCATCAAGCCCCATGGCAGGCTGTAGTGGCTCGTGCACCTTGAACTTTGGTCGAACCTTGGTCGGCCGTTTGATGGACCAGAAGTAGACGACCACCTGCAGCACGACCAGAAAGAACACCCACTGGAGTAGGCGTCTTAGGGACCACCGCATGATCCTGGAACGAAACCAACTCGGATCAACTCTAAACTCAAATTAATAGATACAACAACGTATCAAGCTGTAGAGCGAGCTACCGCTAACCCGAGAGTCTCAAGTTCTAACAGTGGCGTAGCGAGGTCGGGTGTCACCCGGTGCGGCACTTAATGGTGTCACCCCCCAGAGGCGTAGCGACCCTTCCCGGGGACAAACTTTTAAGTTTTGGATTTGCACCCCCCCCCCCTCAAACTTTCGATTTACACCCCCCTCAAGTTTTCGATTTGCACCCCCCCCCTTCAAGTTTTTCTCTATATATTTTGCCATTTTTTGCCTTGGTGTCACCCCCCTAAATGGTGTCACCCGGTGCGGTCCGCACCCCCCGCACCCCACCCCCCTCGCTACGCCCCTGAGTTCGAATCCAGGGATAAAGACTGTATGATGTTCCTGAGTCTACCCAGCGATAATAGGTACCTGAATGAGAAGGAAAACGAGGCTAGGTTTTATACTGAGTGAGTGGTTTGGGTTATATGATTTAATACCATTTAAATCTTACTATCATGTAAAGATGTTACACCCACAGGCAGGCATTATTCAATTGTTTATCAATACAATACAGGTGTCGACTGATCAATAAGACAAAAGCAGATTTCTTCTTCCTAGATTTATTCTCGTCCTGAACTCACGCACACCCTTTCACCAAGACTACAAGAACAAGACTCCTATCTAACTTCTTCCCCGGCAACAACGAACTCACACTCAATAGGTCACTTTCTTGCGTACCGCGTCACACTTTCACTCGTTCAATAAACGGCCGCACCATCAATCATGCGCACCAATTTGCCTAGTCAAACATACATCATAACCATAGTACTGATGACACTAACACTTTACATGCCGAGGTCAATGAAAGATGTGAACTGTACTTATCTGTTTCACGGACCATAAGGGTAACGTTTACCAGAGTTTCTTCCAGGCATCTATTCGGATGGGGGGGGGGGACAGAGCGCCGCCGAAGAAAGTCTATCCCACCTCCCCCAACGAATTGGAATTTATATAGAAAACATACTTTTACCAGTGTCCGCCTCCCCCCCTTTCGGAAAATTTAGTCTGCCCCCCCCCCCCCCCGGAAATATCAAGTGCATCTATTCGGATGGTGGGGGGGGGGGGAGAGTGCAGAGCGCCCCCCTCCCCCCCCCCCCCTACCCGAAGAAAGTCAATCCCCCCCCCCCAACCAGGCACAGTGAACAGCAGATTTTTTGTAAAGTATAACAATATTCTCATTAATCACATCATTGAATCGCCAGTACAGGTGATATTCTACAATATTCTATAATTAAACAACCCATGAATAAGCCTAGTAATTTAACTAGATTTAGGTAATACACGCAGAAAAGTGCAACTAAAAACATTGATTTTGATCAATAACATTTTTACATCATTTGTGATTTTATAAAAACACTATTCATTTTTATACCAGCTAGTGTTAATTTACTATCCATTTACATTAACAACGATGTTTTATTAATATTATAGACTGTCTTTGACGTTTAATTAATATTATAGAATGTCTTTAAAAAAATTCTTTTGAAATTGTCCAAATATTTCATAATTAGATCCCGCCTTTTTTAAGCAAGCAAAAACAACAGCACTGAGAACGTTATTTAAAATGCATGACGCATTCATCCGCGAGAGGGATTTCAAAAGAAATACCACGTCATGCTATTTGTAAGCAATTCTTTAAACTAGACTCCTTGGGGGATTCCCCTGAAGACTTCGCGGAGCTAAGCATCAATCACTTGGTAGCTAGATAATTTCTAATGCTCCCAGGGGGTCGTGCCATGGGTGGGGAGGGGAGGGGGGGGGGCAGATAATGGAGGTGCCGTAGGATTGAGAATGGAAGGAAGATGAATCTTTAAAGAGGAAAACTGGGAAATGGGAGAAAGAGTGGGTAGAAACAAATTAATGTGAGGAGAAAATATCAAGAAATTGTTTATGAAGCTAGAGAGGTAACAATTTGATATAGCGTATGATAAAAGTTTATATCAGTTATAAAACAGGTAATGAAACTAAAATTCTACAATGGCTAGAAATGTGTGACTAAACAGGGCTCAACGTGTAATTAATTCCACACCCATACCTAGCCTCCATCAGGACCTAACTATCTTCAATTCTTAACCTTCATCAACACCTAGCTTTTAAGAAGACCTCACTCTCACATAGACCTAGCCATCAAGACCGAATCCTCGCAATACAAAGACCCGCAACCGAATTACAAAAACTGTAGAAACGGCGGACACAGACAACGCATTCGTATTTGAAGAAATATACATTTACGATACAGTAAATACACAACAATTAAAACCAATTACTAATACAATTCTATAAAGAGAAAACAACCCGTTCGAGCGAGTACCCTCGTGTTTAAGCTCTTTACACAAACACTTCATCACACGGTAAAGCTAATGCAATGCAAACCATTTACTTATACAGAACGCAGACATCTACATACTTTACTTGTCCCAGACACGGTACATAATTTAATTTGTTTCTATACAAGTGATTACCAACATCGTAAAGACTGATATACATACGCTTGATTTAACATACAGAATACTCGCCAATGTGTTAAAACTGTATATGATGACAGCCTTTCAGTTGACATGGCCAGTGACGTATTTGCCTATTTTAAATGCCACAGTCTGACTTATAAAAAACATAGGAAAAATAAATAAATAAATAAGGTCGTTGTGGCTCTCTACTTTATGTATTTGTATAAGAACGGCGTGTGTTCTAGAGAAATTGCCATCAGAGTTTCCTCCAGGCTCTCCCCCCCCCCTTAAAAAGTCTGAAAGAAACACTGAATGCCACCGTATCTCCGGGTCTGCTACGTCTTTAGACACGGCTTAAAAATGTTAAAAATGTTAAAAATGTTACTCGAGCTCTAGATTATCAGTAGCTGGTACCAAAACAAGTGTTTATTATTTTTTTTAACTGGGGAGAAGTCACAACACTGGTGTGATTGTAGGGGACTGGATGGATGTAAAACTTGATAGAACCTCAAACTATGGATAAAGTAGGTGGAGCCATAAGCACAACAGAGGACGACAGTCGCACGTCTTCTGGCCAATGACAGTTGAACGTCTTCTGGCCAATGACAGTTGAACGTCTTCTGGCCAATGACAGTTGAACGTCTTCTGGCCAATGACAGTCGGGCCAATGACAGTTGGATGTCTTCGGGCCAATGACAGTCTCACGTCTTCTGGCCAATGACAGTTGAACGTCTTCTGGCCAATGACAGTTGGACGTCTTCTGGCCAATGACAGTTGAACGTCTTCTGGCCAATGACAGTTGAACGTCTTCTGGCCAATGATAGTTGAACGTCTTCTGGCCAATGACAGTTTAACGTCTTCTGGCCAATGACAGTCGGGCCAATGACAGTTGGACGTCTTCTGGCCAATGACAGTTGAACGTCTTCTAGCCAATGACAGTTGAACGTCTTCTGGCCAATGACAGTTGAACGTCTTCTGGCCAATGACAGTTGGACGTCTTCTAGCCAATGACAGTTGGATGTCTTCTGGCCAATGACAGTTGGACGTCTTCTGGCCAATGACAGTTGAAGGTAGAATATATGAACTTCCTGTGGTCTACAGACCCAGAAGACATTAATATAACGCCCACCTTCAATTCCCCGGGACATTAGCGGTCCACGTGTCATCGACCTGGATCACACGAAACCTTACGAGACCACACTAGACAACACGAGACCACACGAGAAGACACGAGACCACACAAGACCACACGAGACCACACGAGACCACACGAGACCACACGAGACGACACGAGACGACACGAGACGACACGAGACGACACGAGACCACACGAGACCACACGAGACCACACGAGACCACACGAGACCACACGAGACCACACGAGACCACACGAGACCACACGAGACCCTACTGGACCACACGAGACCCTCCATCACTGCAGAACACTCAAGTCATTCCCCTCCCCATCGCCCCTTCCCCTCCCCATCGCCCTTTCCCCTCCCACGTAATGACCGATCGTCTGCTACGTAATGAGGCATCGATTATCACCAACACGTGGTCTGGCTGGACATTTTTCTTTCTTTAAGCCGACAAGCTTTAAAAATAAAGCACCAATCGTGTAAAAATATCCTAATTAGCAAAAAAATAAATAAAAATAATATGCAATGGCCATAAGGATAATTAACACATAGCCGACTTAGATATTGACAGCCTAGATTTAGAAGGAACTGGTACACATTTAAAATATCTCTGTGTGAAACTAGTAGCCTATATACATTGGCAAATAAATGCATGTGGGGGGGGGGGGGGGGGGGGGGGGGTCCACGAACGAAGTCACACTTCTAATGGGAAGGGGGGGGGTAGGCATTTTATGACGACGTGTTATGAGGGGGTGGGGGTGGGGGTTGGGGGTTGAAAGGGTAAGAAACAACGACAAAATACTTTTTGAATTTTAAAAAAGTAGGCCTAATGTTTGAAACCGAGTTTTAGACGTTTTTCCTAGTTTTAAATGGCTGTTCTTGCAAACTGTATTAGATATAAATATTTTCGATGTAAGCTGAGCCTAGAACATTTTAAAGAAGGAGATTTAGGCTAAGATGGGTTCGTCTTTTTATGGATGGGGGTCTGGCTTTTTGTGACGATGTGTGACGACGGGCAGGATGGTAAAAATCGTCAAAAAACGTAACGTCATTTCTGAATAACACAATAGAACTAAGCACCGAATAACGAGATACAACATGCAGCAGAAAAACCCTAACGGTTGTCAAACTATATCATTTGTGCATGAGGGGATGGAAACTGGGGGGGGGGGGGGGGGGGGGTTAGGGATTCTTGCAACAAAAAACCACAGGCCCCGAATAGATTTTTTCTCGTTATTATTCCCGTGGCTCTGCTAATTTCGCGTGATATTTCTTTAAGCGGAAATGAATGTAGGACAACCCAGCAAGGAGCTTGATTGTCGGTAATGTAA